AAACCCCAAAATCCCTAAACCCTAAAACCCTAAACCCTGAGCCCCAAAACCCCAAAAACCCTAAGCCCCACCCTAAACCCTAAACCCCAAAACCCTATAAACCCTAAACCCTAAACCCAAAACCCAAAACCCCTAAACTCCTAAACCCTAAACCCTATTACCCTAAACCCTAAACCCCTAAACCCTAAACCCTAAATTACTACCCCTACGTAGTCCCTGCCTCGGACTCCACCCTGGCGCTGGAGGAGGCCCAGCGTGTCGGTAGATCCCGTCCAGATGTCGGGTCTGTGGGGCGTTGGTTTAGGGTGAAATAAGAGTTTAGGGTTGAGGGTTTATTAGGGGCTTTGGGGCCTGGGGTTGAGGGCATTTGGGGTTTAGGCTGTAATGAGGGTGTAGGATGTAATGAGAGTTGAGGGTTGAGGGCTTATAGGGTTTAGGGCTCAGGGTTTAGGGGCCTACGGTTTAAGGTTTAGGGTTCAGGGGCCTAGGGTTTACGGGCCTGGGCTTAGGGTCTAGGGTTCAGGGCTCAGGGGGAGGGGCCTAGGATTTAGGATTTAGGGATCATATTTAGATTCGCCCATACCTCATATCCAGACTTCGTCTATGTTTGGATCTCGTAAACAACTTCTTCGAAACTGGCCCGCTACAAGCATCAGAATGCCCCTCAGCTGTAGCGAACAAAAGCGACGTCTCGACATCTTTCAGGAGGTCACAGATGTCACAGACGACAGACGCAACTGTATTGGCTCACACTCAGTATTGCTTGCAGGCAAGCCGTTTTGTCAACTTCATCGTCGGTTTCGGGTGTAAATTTGGGGCACTTCGGGGACTGGGGTTTAGGGCTTAGGACCTAGGATTTAGGGCAGGAGACCAGGGTTTCCGGGTTAGGTTAGATGGCAGTCAGGCCGAGCTTCCAAACAACGTGGTGGACCTCTCCATGTAGGAGAACGGGAGCCGACGTTGGGTATAAATGCTCGAAGGTGATCTTCGATAGATCCGGAGTCTCCGGGATCACGGAGATTTGTGGATCCTGAAGGTCGCCTGAGAGCTGGATGCAATCAGCTGGTACACTGAAGGGCAATCCAGCTTGCATCAACCTGCAGCCCACTTTGGTGAACAGGCTGTCCCGGCCACTGCCATGAGTGGGGTGGTGAGAGCCATGCTGCAAGCGAAACAGCAGTGCGTGTGGCGCCGACAATAGGCTTGGGGCCATACCGCCCGTGCGTGGCAACTTCGGCTGCCGGTCTGCTGTGTAGCTTTGCAGCTTTCACTACTCCAAGCGCAGCATCATGGCCAACCCTTCCAGCCCAAACCTTAACTTCTAGACTTTGAAGTAACCTGGGAGAACATGTACAAACGTCCACTTCATAATGGTTCCATTAAGCCACAGTTCAAAACAAAGTATTAAAGTACGGTTGATGGTATAAATCCTGCATTACCTTAAGGACCCTAAACTATGGGAATTATGGCATAAATTTCTTATTATGGATAATGCAGAATTTATACCATCAACTGTATTGAAGTATGGTGCTCGAAACCCAGGTTAACCGAAGGTGACACCTGCTCGGCAGCTCCTTTGTGGTCTCTGAGAGCATAGCTTGTTCGCTTCCGAACCAAGCGACTCTAAGACATCACGACACTAAGGGGTTTAGGGTTTATAGGGTTTAAGGTTTAGGATTTAGGGGTTTAGGGTTTAGGGTTTTAGGGTTTAGTTTAGGGTAAACGATACTTTACTACAAGATTTACTCGGGCTTGAAGTTACATGGGCTTCTGCAGCCTTCCATGCACTGTACGATACGTTGTGGGAGCATGAGTTGTTGTAACAGCGACAACCTTACAGATGACAGGAGGAGACGAGGCTTTTTGCAGCGTTCGGTGCTCCTATGTTGGTCACGTACTGTTGCTACAACGAACTGGCCCGGGCGCGACGAGCTGCCCAGCGTCACCTGCTCATGCACATCCAACAAATCCTCGACCTCTTTCAACGTTTCTGCGCTGACAAAAAAGGCAAATGTGGCCCAGGGAAGCTGCGAGATCAAGCTTTGCATCACTGCCGTTCCATCCTCAGCAGTCTTGCAAACTTTTCCCCAGGGGGGATTTGCCAGAACGATATCTGTCGCGGCCAGCACTGCCTCTGTTAAACGGTCCGAGACATCCTGGGGCATCAACAGCGTCATCTTTTGAATGTCTGGCACGTTTGCAAATTGCAAATTTGCCTTCAAGTGCTCCTCAAAGTCTCTGATGTCAACACAGAAGACTTTACTCACTTCAGGCTCCATGGCTGCAGCCAAAGCCAGTGTCCCAGAGCCAACACAAGGATCTAGCACATTGATTGCACCCTTCACCTGTGCGCGTGCGCAGTGCGAGAGAATCGCAATTCTGGCGGCAGCAGACGCCAACTGACCCTCCATTGCACCTCTGAAAGGGCCCTAGGTACTGATACGGAGGATACTTTCCAAATCATAAAAGTAACTCCAAATGTAGACTCCCTACATTCTACCATCGAGAATACATGTGTATATGTTTATATATATATATATGTACGTGTGTGTGTGTGTACACATACATATACATACATCTTTGCATATACATATACATATACACATACATGTACACACGTACACATATACATGTGCATGTGCATGTACATGTACATGTACATATACATACATACATACATACATACATACATACATACATACATGCATGCATGCATGCATACATACATATGAATATATATATATATATGTATATATGTATATATATATATGTATACAGATATATGTATATATATATATGTATATAGATTATATAGATATTTATTTGTATATATATATATGCATGTATGCATTTATATATACAGAGAGAGATAGAGAGATAGATAGAAATATAGATAGATAGATAGATAGATAGATAGACAGATAGATAGATAGATAGATGGATGGATAGATGGATAGGCAGCTTGGACCCTTTGCACCTGTGAAGGTCCACGGACGATGCTGCCAGCGCTTCAGCCATTCGGAGCGCCTCACTTCCTAGGTTCCTTTAATTAGGGTTTAGGGTTTAGGGCCCTTTTCCTACTATTGGGTTTTAAGAAGGAGCCCCCAAAACAAAAAGGGCAAAAGGGTACTACTCGGGAACCTAGTTTCTGACTCTAAAGCCGCTGCCAACACCCACGTAGTGCTGTCTTCCTCCTGCTTGTCTGTACCTGGACCCCAAAAGTATGGGGTTTCGGAGTGTTTAGGGTTTAGGGCTAAGAAGAATGGCCTTTTGTAGGCGTTGGGCGGTTACTTTACCTCCTCTTGGGGATTTAGGTACACGCAGAACCTGTTTGAGAGCGAACCCAAGCAAGCCCGTCGCATGAGCGCAGACGAAGCCTCAACAGCACCAATCGCACATCTGCGTGCTCCTCAGCAGCAGCTTGCTTCGCCCCAGCGGCGCCCAGAATCGCACCAAGCCTTGCCAAAAAAGAAGGAAACTCCCCGTCGAACAGAAACGGTGGAGTTCCTGTTTTGGACCCATGATGTTGCACCAGTCTCATCCACCAGGTAACCTCTTTGGCGTTTTTGAGATTCTTGACCTTCTTGCGTTTGACGAGTCCCTCCTCCACCTTCTTCAGGATCTCTGCTCCCGTAACACCGTCCTCAGCACCCCGGGCACCCTGCGCTTCCTCCAGCAAGGATCTGCATGAATGCGCTGGCCCCAGGAGCACTTGGAAAGGACCTGCAAGTAAGCCGACCGGCCTTCTTCTGTGGAGAACGTCCCATGCTTTCTGCACAGCCACTGAGGCTTGAGCCGGCCAGTGAAGCCGCCAAACCCCAGCGCCAAGAAGGCTCAGGTTGCCACCTGCTGATCGTACGCCTGCTGCCTCCAACGCAGAAGACAGCTCCAAGTTGTACAATTCACCTTGCCAGCCTCCGCGTACCAACAGCAACATCTCTCCAGCACCATTAGTAGCTCTGCAAGCGGACGGAGTTTGCACCCCCTCTCCTCGCAGCTCCTCAGAGCGCTTGGCTAGACTGGTCAACGATATTCTTCTGAATTGACGGCAGCATGGGTGCTTAGCTGGACAGCGAGTTGCAACAAGCAGCGGCATGAAAACTTCTGCCATCCAGCTGATTGTGAGCAGGGTTGCAAGGCTTCTAACGGCGATGCCACCTCTCCTCCGTCGATGTGCCATGGCAGCACCAGCATAGTGCGAGATTTACAAGAAGGCCGAGGAGTGCAAGCCTGGAGACATGGTAACTACATCCTAGTTTTCAGTACCATCTACGATGTAAGAAATATTCTTAATTCAGGATTGTAGTTTTCAGTACCGTCTACGATGCAAGTGATATTCCTTAATTCAGGAGTTTGGGGCTGTCGTCGAAAGAGGCTTCACAGCGCTTCGGGGACCGATGAGGCTCTAGAGCAGAAAAGCTTAAAACACTTGTCGGCTATGGCTGAATCCCCGCCCGCCCTCCCAAAAAAAATGGAACTGCTTCAGGACTTGTATCTGGAACTCATAACAAGGAGCCCGAAAGATATAAAACGGTTCCTGAGGTTCAGGTTGATGGTTGAGCTTGCCACCGAACAACAAAAAAGACATGAGATGTGATCGGACGACTCGTGAATACTGCCACAAAACCCAACCCCACTAACATAGGAGAAATAATGAGTAGAAAGGGGGGCTTGGGGCTTTATGCTACAATACAGAACCCTAAGAAAGAGTCCGTAATGTTCTCTTGTTGGTGATTCCAAAGGCCCCCATACTCACATGTGGGCCTTGCTTTCATGGAGTTGAGGCGTGAGGCGAAACGCAGCTGATCAGGTACCTTCCAGGTTTGGGGTTTAAGGGTTTAGGGTTTTAGGGTTTACGAGACGCGCAAGATGCTGAGCCACAAGCATGCACCCTGTTGCGGCTTCGGGTTCTCGATTTACAAGCACGGGGTTGCTTCAATGTAACCCTATAAGCCCCAAGCTCAAAGCCCAAAAACCTAAACCACACAATGTCACGACCACAGAACCGAATAGCGGCCCTAGTTAAGTCAGGACAACCTCACGTCCTAGATCAGAGAAATACATCCTATACATTGCAACTTCTGTTGATAGTTTTGCATTGCCACACCCTGAGCTCTAAGACCCTAAACTTAAAAACCCGACAAATTCCAAAACCCTTAACCCCCAATGCCACAGTGCCCAAGAACTCCAATGCTAGAAGACTGAATCGTTGGTATTACTATCACTCGGTTGTCTGAACTCGACAAACCTCAGAAGCGCCGTTCTAAGTATAAAGACCCTCTTTTTGCATGGGAGCCTGTAAACCTTTCAAGCTGAAGCCCCTAAGGAACTAAACCCCTAAACTCTAACTCTAACCCTAAGGCTCTAAGGACTCATATTTTAAGGCTCTTGGGCCCAAAGACCATACTTTATAAGGCGTCTGGGCTATTTTGAGCCTTAGGCTCTAAGCCTTTAAATCCCAAGCTGCCTTTCAACTGTAAAGCCATTCCCCCCTAACCTCTCCAGGCTCTGGACTGCATGTGGGGTTTACGGTTCAGGGTGTAGGATTTTGGGTTTAGGTTTTGGGTTAGTATACTACTGCTGATGATATGAATCCTGCCTTACCTTAAGGACCCTATCCTATGGGAATATGGTATATTCCTTATTATGGGTGATGCAGGATTTACATTATCAACCGTATGTCGGGTTCATATGGGCTTCCTCCAGGTATGGTATGATTTAGGTGCCGCTTCCGTCACATTGGGGCAGCAGCCTCGTGGCTAGTACGGGTTCAAAAAACACCCCTGAACCCTAGCCTATAGGGTTTAGGCCTTACAAGCTCTTAAATCCCAAGCCCTAACCCGAAAACCTGTAAATCCTCAACCCTAGCCCATAGGGTTTAGGGCTTATAAGCTCTTGAACCTTAAAACCTAAACCCGAAAAATCCGAAAACCTATAAATCCTACACTCCAAACCCTCCACCGCAATGCGAACTAAGAGGCCTCGGCAGCCATGCTACACTGCTCTTCCGCCATACTCCTGGCGCTGTGGCTGAGGGTTTATTAGGGTTGGGCAAAATCCTTCACTATCTTATCCTAAAGTCTACACATCCTAAACACCAAGCTTTAATGTTTAGTCGTCCTGATAGAACACCCAAGCGTAAGAACTGTACGACATCCCTTACTTTGGGCAATGCCGAATTGAGTCCGTCAGCAGCACAAAAACCTTTAGGGTCCAAACATCTAGTCATCATCCGCTTTCCAAAGACCTCTTTACAAAACTACTCTACCAAAACCGAGCACCTAAGTGGTGGGCCCAGTGGGCCCTTAGGGAAAATGTATATAGGTGTTGCAAACTTGAAGGATGATCCTCCACGGGATCGGGTGTTACGGCCTAAAGGGTTTGAGGCTTCAGGGCGTGCTCTTAGGGGTAAGGGGTTCGCGATGTATGCTTGGCCCCCGTTTAGGTCTGTAGTTCTTTGTATGGTCTGGCGGAGGGCTGTGTGCGGGAGACCCTAAATACAGTGCGTCTCAAAGCATGCACCACATATGGCGTCGACAGCTCGGCCGCTGCTTCCACTGCCCTAAGGGTCCAAGCGCCTAATACATACACTCTTCTGAAGACTAACCTACAAAACTACTATCCGTAACCCAAGTACACTCCTTTGGGCCCTTAAGGGATTAGTTACATATATAAACCGGGAACCCTAAAACCCTAAACCCTATACGGGTCTGCTGTCGCCCGAAGCGCTAAACCCCCAGACCCAAAAACCCTAAATCCTAAACAGCCTAAACCCCTTCAGGAACTCTGAGCCCTAGACGGAAGGGTCCTCAGAGACGCACCAAATGCCAAAGCGTCGCAGGCCGAGCGATTGGGTAAGCTGGGTTCGGCTCCTTTGAAACTCAACCCTAAACCCTAAACCCCTAAACCCTAAACTCTTAAACCCTTAATCGGCTAACACCCTACACCCTAAACCCTTAAACCCCTAAATCCAAAATCCCTAAACCCTTAAACCCTAAGCCCTATACCCTTAAACCCTAAACCCGTATAGGGCTTTAGGGTGTAAAATGTCAGGCCTAGGCCTGGGTTTAAGGAACAAAGGAGTCTTAGGGTTGATAATATAAATCCTGCATCACCCATAATAAGATATAGACCATAATTCCCATAGTTTAGGGTCCTTATATAAGGTAATGCAGGATTTATATCCTCAACAGTAGGGCTTTAGGGCTTATAACTTGCAGGGTTGAAGAGGAAAGGAACCTCGGATTTTTTAGGCAGATAGGTTTTAGGGTTTAGGGTTTATAGGGCTTACCCATAGGCTCCATTGTAATTCCCTTTTTGGGGTTGATATTTAGGATCCTATAAGGTAATACCCAACAAGGAACTGCAATGGAGCCTATGGGTAAGGCTGAGAGACGAAGAAATATGAGGTTCTATGGCTTGTTTTAGGTGACTGCGGCTCTAACAGTCCGGGGCTGTTTGTTTGTTTTGTTTTGGCGTTCTCTTGGTTTCGACCTGGTGGTTTCCCGCTTTGCGGGGGTGGGGGGGAAGTAATTACGTACATTGGAAGCACATCCCGAAGCAATGCAGGCCTGACGCCCAAAAGCAGTGCAGCCCTTAAAGGCCTCCGAACCCCGAACCCTTAAACGCCTCCAAACCCCAAGCCCTTAAAGGCCTCGAAACCCGAAGCCCTTAAAGGCCTCGAAACCCCAAACTTGCCTCGTGCCTCGCCCAAAGACTTTCATATCGGTTTACGGTCTAGGGTTTTGAGTTTGGAGTTCAGGCTCTAGGGTTCAGGCTGCGAGTAGCATGACCCCTGCGCAAGGAACGATACAAAGAAGAGTAGCATGGCACATGCCAGCTCAGCTGCACAGGCACAAAACCAGAAGTGTACCGGATGGTTGTCTCAAGGGCTCATGAGACCCAATCCCTGATTTGTGTGAGGGTGTTAAGGGTTGTAATCCCAACCCCCCTTTTTGGGTCACCCTCACACACACACACACACAACTTTTTCAAAACCCTGCCACGCAAAGCGTGCGTTTTGCCTCGGTAAAACGCTCAAGTCGCAACGAAAACAGACCCCTCTAGAGGATTCTCGTTGTCCAAGACCTGCTGCGTTTTCCACACGTATGCGTTTTACCACACGTTTAGCCATGTGTGCAGAACGGTGCGTTTTCCGAGTGCCACAAAACACACGGCCCCTTGCAAGCGCAGCTACCTTGTTTTAGCAGGAGACCTACAGGGTTTCTCTAAAGGTGTATGTACCCCGGTGAAGGAACATCCGATGAAGGTTCAGGGTCCAGGGCACATGGAGCATATAGGGCTTATAGGGTGTAGGGTAAATAGCAGAGTGGACACCCTAATCTGTTGGCAGGTATACTCCTGAACCCTATACACCCTCAACCCTAAACCCCAGATCCTAAACCCTAAACCCTAAGCCCTAAGCCCTGAACCATAGACCCTAAACCCTTATACTAAGATCTTAGCCCTAAACCCTAGACCCTAAACCCCAAGTAGACCCTAAACCCGAAACCCTAAACCCAAAGCTCTATTCTCTAAGCCTTAATGTTGGCAAGTCTTTTCCTGAACTTACGAACCTTAAATTACTAGTCCGAACCCAAAGAGTCCGAACCCTGAAATAATAGTCCGAACTTAAAACAGTAGTCCGAATCGAAGATAATAGTTACAACCCTCCAATAGCAGTCCGAACAATAGCCCCAACCTTAAAACATTAATCCAAACTACAATAGAAAGGTCATTGTCGAATGTAAATGATTGAGCCGACCTATACGATTTAGCGAATGATCTCTTACTGTTCTGAGATTATCTGGGTGGGTGGGTGTTATATCAAAGCCGTAAATACAACTTTACTATAATACCGCTCGATCGGGAGCTGCTGAATCCTAAACCCTAAA